GGGGCACAGACAATGGGGTGGGGATTGACTGGGGGTGGAGGGCGGGGCAGGAGAGGGGAAAAAGGTGGGACAACTGTAACCGAACAACAATAATAAACAAATATATACATAAAAGAAATATTGGTGATTTGTAGTACCATTAAGTCGAAAACTAATATGAAAGATCTATTATTCTTTTTATAATTAAAAAATACCCAAACTAAAAAAGTCAGTGTAAAAATAGGTTATGAAAATAAATTCCTTCTACTCCAGATCTATAAGCTCCCTTCCCAGAGCAACTATCATTATCAGTTTCCTGTTGTATCTTTTGAGTAATATTTTAAGCATGTACAAGCACATCTAATGTGATTCTAGTCCCTTTTTCATGTAAACAAGTGTATATTATGTAAACTCTTTTGCTCCTTGTGCTTTTTCAGATGTACTTTTAACATTTTTTTACTGGCTGTTCAGTATTCCATAGTATGGGTGAATCATTCATTATTTAACCATTCCTTGCTGATGGACATTTAAGTTTTACTCAAGTTTTTGCTCTTTTAGGCAGTATTACACTGAATTTTTAGGTCTTTTCCATGTATATATGTTTAGGATAAATTCTTAGAAGTGGAATTACTGGGGCAAAGAGAATATCATTCCGATTTTGATAGATATTTTCCAAAGGAGCTTCATGGGGGCTGACTCATTTATACCTTCATTAGTGCCAGGTGAGAGTTCCAGCATTCTCCCATCCTTACCAGAACACTACATGTAGTTTTTAACTTTTTGAACTTGGCTTGTTGGATAGGTGAAAATGGTACCTAATTTTAATTTTCCTCTCTTTAACTATGACTGAAGTCGAGCATCTTCTTATGGGTTAAAAGGCATTTGTTAGTATTTTTAGTGTGCGTACTTCCGGCTCGTGTCCTTTGCCATTTTCCCATTGCGTTATTGGTCATTTTCTGTTCAAGTTGTAAGGGTTCTCTCTCTATAAACAAATCTACCCTTGTCATATGTGCTGCCAATATATTTTGCAGTTTGTTGTTTGTGTTATGACTTGTGGCTTTTGTTTTCTTTGCAGATTAAAAAATTCTTATGCTATCACATTTAGTTCTTCTATAATTTGGGGAATTTGTGTTTCACTTAGTACTCTCCATTTAGAGGTGATAAAGGTTATTGTTTTCTTTTAGCATTTTTTCAGCATTTTTGTGAATTTATTATTTTTACCTTGGATCAATCAGAAATGATTATGTTATGAGAAGTGAGGTAGAAAGAAATTCAGTTTCATTTTTCCAGCGTACTAATAATTCATCTTTTCTCTGCCTGTTGAAGTGTAGTTTTATCGTATACTAAATTCTTAAATATATCGGGTCTATTGCTGGACTTGCTTCTATTTAATTGCTTTAAATGCACCCAGTACAAACTTTTAATTTCTAAAGCTTCATAATATTTAAAAATGTTTTGGCTCTTCTAGCATATTTTGTTTTACTATCTCACTTTTAGAACCAGCTTATCTGGTTGCAAACAACAACAATGGCAAAAATTCTGTTTGTGTTCTTATTGACATAGCACTTCTTTATAGTTTAATTGGTACTTCTTTAATTTATTTAAGACTTCTATTATGGCTTTTTAAAAACTTATTTTTATTTTAAAAAATATTTTATTTATTTATCTTTAGAGGGGAAGGGAAGGAAAGAGGGAGAGAAATATCAGCGTATGTTTGCCTATCATGCGTCCCCTGCTGGGAACTGGCCTGCAACCTAGGCATGTGCCCTGACTGGGAATTGAACCTCGATCCTTTGGTTCATAGGCCCACACTCAATTCACTGAGCTACACCAGCCTGGGCTATTATGGCTTTTTTAGAATATTAATTTTCTTTGCTGTTTGTATCGCTCTTATTTTTTCTCTCTTCTAATTCCAGTGACTTATATGTACATCTAGAAGACTAATGTTAAATACTATTGGTGATAATGTGCACCTATATTTTGTTCCTCAGTTTAGTAGGATTGTTTCTAGAATTACATCATTATTCATGATACTGGCTTTGGAGTTCAGATATATGTGTGTATATCTGTATACACACATATATCTATATATCTATATTATATAGTCATGTTTGGGAACAATATATACTTTTTGTTTTATTAAGAATTTTTTAAATTTGAAATTTATCAAACCTGTTTTCAAATTTATATACATTGCTTTTTTCTTTCTTTGACTTATTAATGATGTAAACTACATTGGTAAATCTAGTATTGAACCATCTGTGTCTTACTACCATGAACCTCATGTAATCATACATGTTATTCTTTTAAAGTATTGATGGATTCTGTTTGCTAATGTTTTTATCAGGATTTCTGCATTGATGTTTATATGAATAGCAGTATAAATTATGATATTCATAAGTATAGGTCTTTACCTTTTAAAAAGGTATTTATATTATTAGTGTTATTTCAGTATTACACAAAGAATTTTGAAGCTGTGCACCTTTCACTCCCAGACGTTTAAATCTCATTGGAATTGCTCGTTCCTTTGAAGATTTGGTGGAGTTCATCTGTGTGAGACTATCTGAGACTGGTGCTTCGTGCGGTCAAGCTTCGATATATTTCTTACGCGAACTGTTATTAATTTGTATTGATGAAGTCTAATACTACTAAATGACATGATGTTCATATATTCAATATTTATTTGTGTTTGAGAGTTCAGCTTATCATTTTCAGTGTGAACAGTTTTACTAATAATATTCTCATTCCTCTGTAGCACCTTAGAAATTAGGCATGCTTCTTTAACTATAATGTATAAAATAATTTTTCAGGGTGAAAATATAGCATAGTGCTTTGCAAATATAGGTAAATATATTGTATTGTACATAAATATATAACAAGATGAAGTGAGCTGGGGAATGCAGACTGGCCTGGCAGAGAAGCAGTGGATGGGGCCGGTGTTCTGCCTTGTGGAGAGGGCCCCATTTTGGAACAGACTCGGAGAGAAGAGGTACAGGAGGGAGGGCCTGTGACACGGTGAAGATGCTTTGCGCGTAAGATGTATCACTGTCTGAAATCTTGCTGAGGCTTATGTTACCCGTGAGTGTCCTGTGCAGTTGGATCTTTTTGGAGATGGGACAGAGCTGCGTCAAGCTGCGGGGGAATCACTGAGGGGTGACAGAGCCTGCTATAGAGAGCCCAGCCCTATCTGGGTCACTGACGTGGTGGCATTTAGATTTATATATGTAACAAGTCTCATGTTTTCTCATCCATGTTAGCGAATGCATGTTTGCCTTGAGAAGGAAAGAGTTAAGGACAACGTTAGTCAGGGTTATTTTTAGGCTGTGCAGTGTTTGTAGAGAATTCTAGGCTCCAAGGGGTTTAAGTCATCTTTTGGTTGAATTTGAACCATTTTCCACCAGTAGAGAGAGCTTCAGAAGGTCTTTGATTCATAAGCATCTCACTAGCTCACAGTATTTTCATTCTGCACGTCCAGCTCGATTAGTGCTACTCTGTTTTCTGGTTGCACTCACTAGTTTTGTCAGGCTAAGGTCATAATGACAGTCACTGCAGCCAGCGTTCTACTAGACTTGAAGTTGTCATGAGAACATTTTTTTTAAACAGGGCAACAACATGAAGAATTAGGTTCGCACGTTAAAGGAGTGGAAAGAGCACAGGCGCAGAGTCGGCCAGATGTGAACTCATGTCACTTGTACTACGTGTTGGACTTCTCCCAGCCTTCATCTGTAAATGGCAAATAGAAGTAATAATATGTGCTTTGCAGAGTTTTGTAAAGATTTAATGAAATAATGTATTTGAAGAACCTGGAGCATAATTAGCATTTAATACATTTCTTAATAACTTCATTCCTCCTTCACTTAATGCTTATAATTTAGTCGTATTGGATGTTTTTTTTTAAAAAAAATCCTCTAGATTCATTTCATGTATTCATGCAATCAAAACCATTTATTCAGTACCTGTGTTGGGCACTGTTCTAGGGGCTGGGATTAGAGTGCTGATCAAGGCAAGTAAGATCCCAGTTCTTATGACATTTGTGTTCTAGTGCATAGGTAGAAAGACATAAAAAAACAAATAAACTAGAAAATGTGGTGATTAGCGATGTGGTAAAACGTTTAAGCCAGGAGGAACCGAAATAGAGTATTGGAAGTACTTCTTTAGATTGGGTAGATAGGAAAGGCCTCTTGGATAAAATGACATTTTACTGAGACCTGAATGAAAGGAGGAGCCAGCTGCGTTAAGATCTGGAGGAATAACATTCCAGGCAGAGTGACCAGCTAGTGCAAAGGTGGCAGTGAACTTGTTATGTTTCAGGAAGTGGAGGATGGAGCTTTTCAGACAAGGGCCCGATCTTGAGGGACCTCACAGGCTAGTGTCTGGAATTCGGTGTGAGGGGAGATTGGAGTTTCTCACAGGCCTAAGATCTAGGGGTATCTGTTAATTATCATGGCTGAACAATTGCGGTAATTGTCAAATCTCAGCATACACGGGGATAATATACATAATATCATCCTTTGGGGAGAATGAAAGCCTTATCTTAATATAGTGAAGTAGGTGGATTAAAAATCAAAGGGAAGCCTAATACACATGACTAATTTTTGTGTGAGCTAATGAGAGGTGATTAAAGTAAAATGCCTGTATAATTAACTTTCAATTGTTTTTCTTAGAGCTATTTAGTTTATGATAATTCTTCCTGGGGTGTTGTGAAAAGTTATGGCCATTTCGGTAACAAATTTGTGCTGAATACCCTCATATTTTATGGCACTTTAGGATTAAGACAAAAGTCTACTTTTAAAAATTAAGTTTTTAGAATCGTTTTAGGTTTGCAGGAAGTGGTAACAATAGTACAAAGAGTTCCCATACACTCCACACCCAGTTTCCCCTGTTATTAACACCTTACATTGGTATGGCATAGTTGTTGAAACTGAGGAACAACTAGTGATATGTTTCTATTAACTAAAGTCCCTGCTTACAAGGTCATTCTGATACAAACTGCCTGGAGTCAGTGTAGCCCTCACAGGTTGAGGTCACAGTCCTCTCCCCAGGGAAGGCTCTTCTCATTTCAGACACCTGCTGTCTGAGCTTTGGGGTTCTGACCACCTCGGTACAAATTCAGCGGTTTCCTGTACCCTGTTAGGTTCAGTGGTTTCCTGTACCCTGTTAGGTTCAGTGGTTTGCTGTAATGACTCAGAATTTAGCATAGTACTATACTCATGATTACAGTTTTATTACAACAGATAGAAGGCAGGACTGGCAAATGAGGAGACACGTAGAGTGAGGTCTGGAGGCCCCAGCATGAGGAGCGTTCACGACCTCAGGACGCGTCACCCTCCTGGCACGTGGACGAATGATTGCCAGCCAGTCAGGCTCACTTTGGAATGTCCCTCAGTTTGGATTTGTCAGATGTTTTTCTCATGATTAAATCGGGGCTGTGAAGACCACAGAGGTACCGTATTTTTCAGACTATAAGACATACTTTCCCCACTAAATTTGGGAGGAAAAGGGGGTTGCGTCTTACAGTCTGAATGTAGCTTACCTGGCTGGCTGTGAGGGGGGTTGGCGGTGGAGCGGGGTCATAGGTTATTGAATATTTTACCATATTTTTTGCTTCAAAAATTTTTTTCCTATTTTCCTTCTCTAAAACCTAGGTGTGTCTTATGGTCCTGTGTGTCTTACAGTTCTAAAAATACGGTAGGTGCCATTCTTCTCACCTCACATCAAGGATACATAACCCTCATGACTTCTGTGGATGTTGACCTTAATCATCCGGGACAGTATCTACCAGCCTTCTCCACTGTAAAGTCACCCTCTTCCTTTCACGTTGTACTTTTTGGAAAGAAGTTATCAGACATGCACATTCTTAAGGAACGGGGAGTTATTCTCCACCGTACCTCCAGCATGGAGGAAGATAGAGGTATTTTTGATAGAAAGAGAAAAGACTTGAAATGTGTAAGTCATTAAGAATCTGCTAACCTTTTCAAATATTATAAAAATGGAATCACAGAACTGGATGGGACCATTCTTTAGAAAAGCAAATTTCGAGGGCCGTGAAGTTAGAGGCCAAAAGAGCACCGCTGGGGAGAGGGGCCGTGGGAATTCAAGTGCTGCATTTGCGTGGTAGTCTCAAATGGTTATCTGTGGGGCGGGAGGTAGCGTCTGGTCATCCTGGTGAATGAAATGTCTTCAGTCTCTTCCCCTACCACCCCGGTTCTATATGTTTTGTGATAGGAAATGTGGTGAGATGTTTCTTTCCATGGGTGATGCACATTATATAATTTCAGCTTGGTAAACCGGTGTGCCTGTGGATTTCCATGAAATTTAATTCTGCCGTGGGTTGACTTTTAGAAGTTGAATTTTGGACATTTTGTTATTGTTGTTTTCATCTGGGCAGACTCAACGTTTGGCTTATGGGAGGATTGTTTTAAGGTATCATGAATGTTCGGGTTTTGTGGTCTGGGCTGTCAAATCACATGCATAACTACTTAGGGAAAAATCAGCAGGATGTTAAATCTGGTAGTTGGTGAGTGGGTAAAAGTGCCTTCTGAGTTGGCTGAGGGATTTGAGAACCGCACCGTGACTGGTGTCCTCATGCAAATAGCTCTCCTCCTCATAAAATTCTAGCTTCCAGCCAAATGCAAATAGGATGAAATTTTAAGTGAGAATATGCACTGAAAAGAAGTTGGTCTGGGGAGACAGTTGTTGTTCACCTCGTAGTTTTGCATCTTTTTATTATTATTCCTTCAAGTGTTCCTAGCAGCAAGCATCATTTCTAACATCTAAAAACGCTTAGCCACCTTTGTCTCATTATACAATTTGTGGTTCTTTTTCTTTATAAGTTAACAAAATTTTTTTAAATTTTTTTAATTTTTATAGGCAGAGGAGAAGTGGGGGGAGAAAGAGAAGGAGAGAAACAACCAAGTGTGGTTGCCTGTCACACTTCCTGCACGGGGGAACTGGCCTGCAACTGAGGCATGTGATCTGACTGGGAGTCAAACCTGCGACCCTTTGGTTTGCAGGCCTGAGCTCAATTCACTGAGCTACACCAGTCATAAAACTTGTGGTACTTAATGGGCTGATCAATTCAAACAAAATCCTCTAAGAGCAAAGAACACTATCTTCACTTCATGGAAACAAGAAACCCAGGGAGTGACTGTGTAACATCTGATTTGAGGCTGTGGCTGAGCCTGGGAGATTAGCCTGGCTTCTCTTGACTGGGACCATCTCTAATGGAAGAAGAAAAGCTGCTGCCTCTGCCTCAGCTGGTGAACCTCACCTGCCTTTCAGGGAATAACACTGCCAGGGAGAAGTGTTACCGATGGACTGGAAAATGACAAAGTACTGCCTAGATATCAGACTGTGTAAGGGATCGCCATACCTTTTCTTCTTCAAAATCCTGACCCATCGATAAGTATTTTTCTCAGTAATCTTTCCAACTTTTTTTTACAGTGTAATACCTTTTGTATTTAGAATTAGCCAGCTAGAGTCGGTTTAGATGATCCCAATTTTGTTGGCAATATCTGAAGCATCATAGTCAGGAGTCAGCCAAGCATATGCCTCCTTCCTCCATCAGGGCCGAGCAGGGTGTGGACCTTGGCCATGTCAGTGTCATAGAGCTTCTTCACAGCTTGTTTGATTTGGTGCTGTTGGCCTTGACATGCACAGTGAACACAGGTGTGTTGTCTTCTGTCTTCTTTATGGCCAACTTGGTGGTCAGGGGGAAATTGCCTTGGCTTTGGCTTTGGCTTTGGGAGGGGCAGTGCTATCTTCATGAAAAAACCCAACTTTATTATTTATATATTGCTTAACAACAGATACCCCCTCTTCTAATTTACTTTAGACCAAGATTTCTCATTGGGGACATGGTTGGAACTGCTGCTCTGAGGTTAGCAAAGCGACCGTCAGACCCCAGTTTTGACTGTGATGTGTAACTGGGCAGTCCCAGGTGTCACCACGGGCCAGCCTCCTTTTCTCCGTTTATGAAAAGAACATTATTTGTGCCTGTTTATGGTATTTCTGCATTTGGTTTATAAGGTAAAACAGCAGTGAATAACTTTGCATGGCAAATTTATCTTGATGCAATTTTGACAGTTTTAAAGTAATCCAAATCATGTTTACAAGTTAAGTCTACCTCCCCAGGTGAACTTAATCTATCTTTAGTCACTTCTTGTATTCTTGTTATCTTTTTTTTAAAAGATTTCTATTTATTTATTTTTAGAGAGTGGGAAGGGAGGGAGAAAGAGAGAGAGAGAAACATCAATGTGTGGTTGCCTACCATGGGGGCCCCCTCTGGGGACCTGGCCTGCAACCCAGGCATATGCCCTGACTGGTAATCGAATTGGCGACCCCTTGATTTGCAGCCCATGCTCAATCCACTGAGCTACACAAGCCAGGGCTCTTGTTATCTTTTTATCTTTAGAAAAACGTCAGACTTTCCCCAACTTACCTCTTTGCAAAAGCCTCACAGGGTCCCTCTGCAGATTTTGTTTGCATGTAGCTCTTTGGTTGTAGAATGGATTTGCTAACCAGCATTCCGTGCTAATGATTGCAACTATTATTTCTCTAGAAAAAGATCTGATGGAGTAGATCTCAGGGAATTTTTTTTTTTTACTGCTTTCCCCAAAATCTGATTTAAAGCAGAGAAAGGGAATGCTTTCTTTTCAATCAATTCAAAGCTGGGAGCCTAGGAAAACACTGCTCAGGAAATTCTTAAAGGAACACATCTCTACTACTTTTCTTTTCACATCTTATACTCATTGTAGGCAAAGGTAAATGGTGTTTGCTTGGGTGCCCTTATGTAAAAATAGAGTAAAACAAAGAAAAAGCTGCAAGTGTCTCTTGAGGCCATCATTTCCCCCTTGGATTTCTGTATTTATACCTCTCTTTCTGGGAGACTGCTTCTGCCCAGGGGCTGGAGGTTGGGATGGGCCCTGTGGAAGGGGCAGAATGTTCTGCCTGGACTCTGTGACAGATTATTTTTGGGCTGAGCCTCTGCCACCTCTTTTCCTAATTCACCCATCATCCTCCGCTTTGAAGTATCTTTTACAAATCCGTGAGCATAAGTCCCTTTTTTTGGATGATCTAAAAAAAAAAAAAAAAAAAAAAGAAAAGAAACCCTGATAAGAATGTACACAGAGAAGTATTACATGGGTATGGGCTATAAAACTTCACTTTTCCGTTTGTGGGATTTCAGTTAGTTTGCATATTCTCCCTTGGTACCTGCTCCCTTTGGTTGCCTAAGGGAAGCAGAGGAGCATAATGATAAAGGGCTTCAATTTTGGAGTTAGAAGGGTCTGCACTGAAATATGTTTCTGCTGCTTCCTTGCTCTGTCTCCGAAGTTATTTGTGCCTTATCCTAAAACAGGTGTGCCCTTTATCAGACACTTAGTAGGAACTCAATGAAATGTGAGTCGTATCTTTTTCTCTCACTTCCTACTTTTCTTAGCTTTCATCTGTTGAAGCCAGTTGATGCCAAATAGTTTGAATAATCCAGAATAAATAAAACAATCTCATCTCCCACCACTCTCTTGGAGCTCACTCTGCCTGCCCTCTCTAATCCTCAACCGAGTATGTTCATGCCCCAGGGCCTTCGCATTTGGTATTCCCTTGGCTGTTCCCAGATCCTCACATGACTCACTCCTTTCCTCCCTTCAGGTCTCTTTTCACGTGTTACTTATCAGACAGTCTTCTCTGACCACTGTATGTAAAAAAGGACTTGCCCTCTATTTCCTGGTACTTCTTGTCCCCCTTACCCTGCTTACTTTTCTCCATGCCACTTATCATTTATTGGCATGTTTTTGTTTTTCTGTGTTGTCTGTCTTTTCCCCACTGGAATATAAGCCTTAGAAGGACAGGGACTCTTTATTAATTGCTGTATGCTCAGTGCGTAGGACAATAGTTGGGTTGTACATTCAATAAACATTTGTCGAATGCATGAATACATGGATGTTTTTATTCATGCTACATTTTCCCTGAGTTTGAAGAAAAAAAAGTGTGTACTGATTTTTAAAAACATTTAAACTATTTAATTGTCTCATTGTTATTGCCTCAAAATATTATTAAATTTAGAGGTGACCATTTTTAGTCTTCACTGAATTATATTAAAATATGATTTCTTCTGAGGCTTTTTTCCTTTATGCAGTTTTAATTTTAGAGAACTTTTAATTGTATCATTAACATTCCAGTCTGCAGGTCACTGTTGTGCGGTGGATTGGGAAAACAGGGAGAGACCCATGTTCTACTTATACCAATTTTTTGTGACCTTCATCTGATTGTACTTTTTTCTTTCATATGGAGAAATTGAAAATATGTGATTTATTGAGGTAGATTTTCTCAATAAAATGATATTGAGAGATGTTTTGTGGCCAAAACCCAGTTGTTCACTGTGGGGAAAAATATGCTAAATTATTTTTTAAATGTGTTTTCTCTGAAAGACTAGCATGCAATATTTAAACAACCACACTTGTGATAATTTCTATTGTAGCAATTCTGATGAGAAGTACACTTGCCAGCTAGGTGATTCACCATGTGTCATTAAAACTCTCACCTCAGATGCTGCTTTCGTTTTGTCCCATTTGGTACCTCACCTCTGATTCTGCATCCAGACGCCTTTGGATTAATAAACTGGGCTAAAAACTGAAATACCTGATGTCCTCGTAATTCTATGGCTTTCACATATTTTCTGTATTTTTATTTCAGGTAGGGAACACTGATTAACAGTTCAAACAGTTTTTAAAACAAACTTTGATAAGACAGATTTTTAAAAGAGCTAGTTCACAAGTTCTGTGTGTTTTCTTTTATTTTCTGCTTATTGCCGTGAGTAAAACCTGTTTGGAAAGTGTTACGCTTTGCTGTGGGTCAGCTTCCACAAGTTGCTTGAGCATACATAGACCTGACCATAACAAAGACCATAAATAAGTTTTTTAAAATATGGGAGTGATGAGATTTACTATATGTTAACTAATACTCATAAAGCACTTTTCTGGGGGGGTCCTTTTAGTAATGAAAAATAAGGCAAAAATGTTTACCAGATTATTTACTGTGCCTGCCTACATTATCCCAAACATCGGTGATTTTTATCTCAGGGGCAAACAGCCTTTTCTAAATATAAACACAAAACCTTTGCTTTGAAGGACATAGTGTACTTGGGGCAGAGCAACATTTGTTAAGCAAATATTTAAGCAAAATTTTATATCTTGCAGGGCTGGGTAAATAATAATATTTTATTTCTGGCAACCTGGGTCGGAGAACACTTTCCATTTTAAGACCGCCAGTCCACGGCCATTTACCATTTGAGTAGATTTTAAAGCAGAACCATCTACATTTTCTAAGTATATCAGCAATTGATTCAAACTGTGTTTGTTCCCATGTGCCAAGGCATTCTTGTGTCGCTGTGATGGAACTTGGCAGAGGACAGCCCCCAGCAGACCCGAGCCTGGCTGTTTGTGCCAAGGTAGCTTGTACTTCTTGCCTTTACTCAGGGGACTTCTGCAACTTCTTTCCCTTTCCAAACTATGTCCCCTGCCTCCAGTGCATTTCTCTGTTAGTGTTTTTCCTTTCCCACAGTGTATAAGCCTGAGAAAATTTAACTTGCTACAGTGTGTGGGAATTTGGAGACTTGTGTTACCTACACTTTAAGATGTCATGTGGGCTCACATTGCTGAGTCTTGGTTGTATCAGTGTAACACAGAGTTTGAACTTTTATAGTCATTTCCAGCTCCACTTCCAGATTCTCCTTACTTTTAGCCACTGTCTAACCTGGGCTGGAGCTATTTCTGTTGATTGCTTTGGTCACTGGGATAGCGGGCTCCCCTTAACTTCCCTGCCCCCCCACCCTGCCTTAGTTGAAGAAGTGCTCTCTTTGTAACTTCAGGGAAGGCTAAGTTGGGTCCTGTCTGGCATCCCCTACTTAGATTCTTGTTCTAGGCATTAACTCTAC